ATAGTCATTTTCGCAATGTCAACTCTTCCAATCCAGGAACATGGTATATCTCTCCATCTGTTTGTGTCATCTTTGATTTCTTTCATCAGTGTCTTATAGTTTTCTGCATACAGGTTTTTTGTCTCTTTAGGTAGGTTATTCCTGGGTATTTTATTCTTTTTTGTTGCACTGTGAGTGGGATTGTGTCCTTAATTTCTCTTTCTGATTTTTCATTATTAGTGTATAAAAATGCAAGGAATTTCTGTGTATTAATTTTGTATCCTGATTTTGCTATATTCATTGATTAGCTCTAGTAATTTTATGGTGGCATCTTTAGGGTTTTCTTTCTATAGTATCATGTCATCTGCAAACAGTAAGAGTTTTAGTTCTTTTCCAATCTACCCCCAGAGTTTCTGATGTCGTCAGTCTGGAATGTGGCATGATTTTTCAAAGCTACTCAGGTGACTCCATTGTACAGCCAAGTAGGGGGACAAACCATCCCCGTTTGCACAGGACTGAGGAGCTTCCTGGGATTTGAAACTTTCAGTGCTAAAACCCAGAATGTCCCAAGCAAAGTAGGACAAGTTGGTCATCCTAACCAGTGTTCTAAGAAATGTGTGGTGGGGTTTGGTGGAGGTATGAAGGAAGGGGAACAGTGCATGCTTTTTAGTCATGGCAAGGTTGACTATGGGCTTCCCTAGTGGTTCAGATGGTAAAGAATCTGCCTGCAATGCAGGAAACCTGGGTTCAATCCCTGGGTCAGGAAGATCCCCTGGAAAAGGAAATGGTAACCAACTCCAGTATTCTTGCCTGTAGAATTCTATAGACAGAGAAGCCTGGCAGGCTACAGTCCATGGGGTTGCCAGGAGTCGGACATGACTGAGCAACTGACACACACAAGATAGACTACAGAGCCAATTACCTACCACAGAATTCCAGAAGATATCTAAAATAGATTTGTGTCAGATGGCATGTTCTGAATTTCGTCATGTACGATTTCTTGGAAGGGCCAATACTTTTCCTATTTCCTTCTTCCTCTGACTTTTGCAAGTATGATCTTGTTCCTAACTGAAAATTTTGTTTCTGAAAAGAAATCTTCCATAGCATCTGGACTCCCTCTGAGGAACCTGTGCTTTGGGAAGTTCAGCCCCTTCCTTCCCGTTAGGTCAATGATAATTGATAGTTACTAATTTTGGCCAATATTTCAGCCAGAGAGAGTGCACTGGATCACTCCTGTACAAGTCTGTCTATTCCAGATTCTGACAAATTTCAAGGGCAGTTAGGTAATGATGATGACTCCTCACCCAGATTCCTCTCTTTGGGGGAGTCACCAAGTAAGAGATACATGGTCTATCTCCAGGAGAGAGTGACAGAGAAATACCAGTAGAGAAAAATCCAATCTCATCACAATAAATAGTCCTCTATAATGTTATCAATAAGGATTCTTTCAAAGGATCTATTGGGTTGGCCAAAAACTTCTTTCGGGGAGAACCCAAACGAAGTTTTTTGCCAACCCAATACAAAAGCGAAAGACTGATCCCAACTCAACCCCAGTGTGGCAAAACTATGGGAGCTACAGAAGGTTGAGGACAGAAGGAAATGTCGGGCCAGGAGAAGCCTCTTCTGACCATTGGCTGAGGGTGAGCTTTGCTGGCAAAACAGGCCCTGTCAAGTGGCCCTGTCCCCCACCTGTCAAGTGTAGACACACTCAGAGGACTTCTCTGTGGCATGAACCAATCCTTCACTACTATTCAAATAGCTTTCTTCTGATACTTGTGGGGTGAGAAAAATCAGCCCTCCCATATTGTTATAAGCTTGTTCTTTTCCAAGCTAGAGTCTTCATGTCTGTGAGTATTCTTTCTAGGATGCATTTTATGACCAATTCATCTCGGTGTTTTTCCTGTGAGCCTACTTAGGGGCTTTTAGGTTGGGAAGACTGGCCCTTAAATAGCAAAATAAGACAAGATAATTGGCCTCACCTTTTGTGAAATGAAGCATGTCTTCTGGAATGAAGAGGGCTGAGGTAGTGGCAAGGGTTAGCTTCCATGTCCTATGTGCTATTTCTGGTTGATGATGCTGCAACTTTATATATAGCAAGATAGATTTTCAATCCATGTTCCTCAGCTCATCTACGACACTATTTGATTTTATATAAAACTGCTAGTGTGTGTCTAAAGTTACTTACCGAGCTTGTTGAACCTGTGTTATTAATAGCTTCCTGGGTTTCTCACACAAGTTGCAGAAAGCCATCACTTTGCATAGCAATCAAATAAAGGGTCACCTCCCCACCACGTATGCTATTTCCTCACCTAATAGCATGGTGAGGGACTTAGACATTGAACTAGCTCATGTGTAAGATGAACAAGGTTTTTTTGTTTTGTTTTTTAAGTTTGAAGGTTTTATATTACTTTACCTTCAGGTTTGTAGCTTTAGAAAATCATGAACAAGGGATAGGAAAGTCTTTAAGCTATGGCCAGCTTCTTTGCAGGGTAAATTCTGTCCTACCTGAGTGGAAGGAATTTTCTAGATCATGAATCAGAGCAGGGGGGCTGGTGTAAACTGGGCTCCAGGGGAGAGAAGCAACATCGGCCTGGCAACCTGTCAGTACCACTGAGCATCACCGCCTGTGTTAACGGGGAAGAGCCCCCAGGACAGCAGGAGGATGAGAAAAATACAAAGAAAGCAGCACAAATAAGAAATAAACAGAGGAGAGGATCTAATTAAAATAGAGTAACTGAAGAGATGACTTCCATTGCATTAAAGATATATTTAGAAGCACCATGCTAGCATTTTATCCCTGAAAACTCCCACTCCTCTCACCAGTATATTAAAAATCTCTAGGCGCCTTCCTAAGATTGGACATTGGCCAATTCTCGCTGGCTCTTGCTTAGAATAGGAAGAGGATGTGCTGTGTCTGCTACTTGAAATCTTGATTTTTTTCCATCCTTTCCTTAGCACCCAAGTTGGGATTTATGATGTCACAGATGCTGTCTAGGTAGGCTTTCAGTTTGTTATTTTTTCCCGCATTTATTCTCATTTTTATTTCTAGGCCACTAAAAACACAGAATTCAGCCCACTAATACAATGAAAAATATATATGTATGTTGGTTGGGAAGGATCCAAATCAGATTACACTAGTTCTTCATGGAGAACATTTTATGAAGGGATAGAAGCTGTAATTAAGTGTTCTTCCCACTTGCAGCAATTTAATTAAAAAGACTAAGGTTATTGATTTTTTAAAACTATTAAAAGGCGCCCATGCTGCTGGTTCCAGGCTGTTTCTGGCAGACCATGCGCTCACGGAGTATAATTTTCCATTTCCTCCAGTACAATGAAACCCTTTATTAAATGCTTTCTCACTGTGGACAGATTGGTTTATAGTTGAAGCAAGCAGGGATTTATAATCCCTTGCTGCTATTTGCTTACCCTTCAATTCAGATTCTGCCAGCACAACACAGATTTATCTCCTTAGCTTCAAAAGGACTTTGGATTTGGGGTGATTTTATTTCACAGGCTGAAGTAGGCTCAACAGAAGAGATTGTGCCAACCAAGTGGAGTTTAGGAGGACTGAATAATCTCATTTTATTCACGATAATACATAAATCAAGCCAGATGAGAATGGAAGAAATAATACCATCGAGCTGCTTGAGTGTCCTTACAACTTCGTAGTTGGCTTCTCCAGAGCAAGTGATCCAAGAGGAAAGTCAGGAAGAAATTCTGCAATGCCGTTTCAGACCTAGTCTCAGGAAGCACAGCCATCACTTCTGCCATATACTCTTTGTGAGAAATAAGTCAGTAGGTCAGCTTGGACTCATGGGAATGGGAAGTAGGTTCCAGCTCTTGAGGAGAGGATATGAAAGACTTTGTGGACATATTTTAAAACCTCCACACACTTCCTTTTCCCTCTACCTGAATTCTTCATATTCAAAGATCTCACTCATCCACTTTATTCAAGTCTTAGCCCAAATGTCACCACTATAAAGAGGTCTTTCCTGACCCCCCCCCCATTCCATCTAAAATAGTATCCAAGTCCCTCTGTACACTATGTCTCCACTTTACTTTTCTTCAAAGCATTTTATCATCACCTGACATTACTCATCTATCTCTTTACAATTGTCTTCCTCCACTAAAAAGAAAGCTTGATGAGGGCAAGCGGTTTTCTGTCTTATTCATGTCTAGAACACAATAATTGCCTAATAAATACTTGGTATTAAATGAATAAAATCATTCATTTATTGAAGCAAACATTTATTGAAGATCAATTATTTGTAAAAAGAAACCAGGCCACAGGGAAAGGGATTTATACTGGGAGATAGGATGAAAAGATTATTAAAACAAGTTCTCAAGCTTCTAAAATCTATGTTCAAGGAATGTTTTCCAAAATGAGTCACCCAGAATATTAATAGGTGTTGCTCAAAGAAAGGGTTCTACAGTTAATGAGAAACATTGGTTTAAACAAAATTAAACATTTTTATTACTGCACAGCTTCTCAAAGCTTTTAATATGCTAATGTGCCATGTAAATCCCCCAAAGGAGGAGTAAAATAAACTTGACTTCCAAAAATTATTTGAATGTGACGTTTTCTTTCATTGAACCCAGACACAAGAGTGAGTCTTGAAAGGATGAGATGAGTTCTTCAGATGAAAAGGGGTGACTTAACGAGAAATAGAAATTTGGAGCAGTGTGAAAGATATCATGACCGGGAGGCAGGGGAATCGGAAAGTTCAGCTGAGTCTTCTGGATGGTCTAGAGGACACCAGAGACAAGCTTGTCTGCTCTAAGTAAGGGAGACAGGAGTGAGGCTAAGACCTTGAGAAGTGAAGAAAATGTCCACAAAAACCAGAAAGGAAATATAAATAAAAGAACAGCAGAGCCACTGAAAGTGCCAAGTGGAGGCCACAGAGGATAGGTTTGGAACAGTCCCAGCCGGTACATTTTCATGACTTTCTCCACCTGTGCAATGACTACTGCATGTGAATGGAGAAAGCAAATTAAAATGGAACTTGGCAGCTTGAATTGACCTAGCAAAGTCTCCACATAAGTTCAAGGAGAAAAGAAATTCTAAAGATCAAGTAGGAAGTGTTGAAAGGGTGCACCCGGAGTGAAAATGGGGAAAAGGACAAACGAGGTACAAATTGGTCATGAAAAATAGAGAAAGGGAAGAGAAAATGCCCACATGATGCTGGGAGAACCAGTGGAAGAGAGTTAGAGAGATGGCTGATAAAGATCTCGGGGTCTAAGGAGGTAAGATGTGGACTCAAGGTCACGCCTGTGGGTTGCTCTGACTGATGATGAGATTCACATTGGAAAATACTCAGAGATGGCTGTGATGGAAGTAAAATGAAGCTGGAGGAAGGAACAGCTTGCACATTTCCTTGGTTTCTCATCCATCCATCTGTTTTCTTCTGATGTCCTTCAGGTGCAGGAACCCTTCATCTTTGAGTCCTCAGCTCAGAGCTTTGTGCCTGGAGCATAGCGGGATCTTTAGAACACCTGCTGGCTGAGTGGATGAAAAGCTGCATGGATAAACAGGCAAACAATACAGGTATTGATTCTGTTAAGGGTGTTGACAGAACAGTGAAAGAGGCCGGTGCAAATGTCATTGGTGAAGTCCATTCACCCCATCCATGTTATGAAGTCTGCGTTTAGGGAGCCTTGTTGGAAAGCTTATGGTAATTTTCATATCAGTGCATTCAAGATGTTGGCATCTTGACTTAACTGACTGTATTTCCAACCACAGCTTTTAGCGATTTCTGTTCTTCCTATGGAAATCTCCATGACTTGTGGTGATTAGAGCCTTAACTCCTCTAGTCTCTTGGTTACCCCAGGCTGACCTAGGCTGGGAACACCTCCATCCTGGGAACCCTGGCCAAAGAAAGAAAAAGGTTCATCAAAAAAAGGTTTGTGCTTCACAGTAAGAATTTGAAAAACCGTGAATGAAGGAATCACATAGAGCCCATATCAAGTCTTATAGCCCCAGCATTATTAACTATAAGCAAAACTTCATGTCACTGGGAAATCAAACATGCAATTCTCAGACTTTGGTGGATGTAAGAATTATATGAACCCCTTACCCTCTGATTCCTCTTCAATAGGAGTTGGAGGAACCTGGCCTTTTGCTTTTTAATAAGCAACCTCAGTGATTGTCCTGCAGGTTGTCTCAGATATTTTGAGAAATGCCATTAGAAGCTTTTTGCTGATGAATTCTAGTACTGCAGTGATTTCAGGGCTGCAATCTAGCCCAGAGGAAGGGACCTGTCATAAAACTCAGACAGCATAGCAAGAACACCTTTTTTTTTTTTTGAGATAGTATGTATGTGTATGTGTATATATACATCTGTATATATATATATATATTACAGCTGTATATATACATATATACATATACATATACATATATATACATATATATACATATACAGCTGTAATATATATATATATGTGTATGTGTATATATACATCTGTATATATATATATATATATATGTTTTGGAGGAGGTTTGATGTTGTGAGACTGAGGAGGCAGATATAGAACCCCAACCACATCTCAGGGTGTCCCTGCCCTGAGTTTATAACCCTGATGCAGCTTCCCACCCTGATTGCAGCTAATGACACCTCCGAGGGACACTTTGGGCAGAGGCCTAGGGAATTTTCTCAGAACATTGAGACAGAGGGCAACTGAAGAGAAGCTTTATATTATCTAGGGCATCACTGTTCTACAGGACAGCAGCTCTTGGCACTTGTAAAGTGTGTTTATCATCTGATAAAATGAACTATATAAATGCAAGGTAATATTAACTGAGAGCACCTTATTGTGAACACCAAATGAAAATTACTCAAACTGTTATTGACATGACATGATACATAAAAAGCAGAGATCTCTTCCTCTTTCCCAAGGAGTCTGCTTTTTTATTCTCTGGGCTCCAGCAGTGCAAGAGGACAGAGACTGCCTCTGGGCACAATCACTAGCTGCTAACAATCCACACCAGGGCCCTGGCCAGCACTTATATTTCTTTTTTTCCCAGAAGCTCATAAAAGCACCTTGGCTGACCCTTCTCCATCACCTCCTAAAAAGACAAAAACTCTGTCACCAGCATAGCCATTAGCAGGGAAACGATCAATTCTTTGATTTTCTTTCAAGCTGGTTTATATCTATGTTAGGGAGGGAATTAGCATCCATGTCACGTGTGAATTTCCTTCTCTTTCCATCTCTCTCACCATGAGCAAGCCCCTCCAGCTCCCTGCATCCATTCACAAAGTCACGAAGTTTCCAGCATCCTTGAACTTGGCCCCAATTCTCCTGCAACCAATACCTCCAAGACGCTCACCAGCCTTTTTTGACAGCAGCTATATTTCTTTGTGCACACAGAACAGAAGAAAAGAGGGAAGCCCTCCTCTTGGGAGGAGATTTTCAAGTGTCATCAAATCTTCTGGTCTCAGACACAAATGCTCAGAACTAGCCATAGAAATTTGTAATGGTCTTCTCCTTTGTCTAAGAGGCAGGCAGCAATTGATTTGACCTGCTTTATGGGGACAATCTCCCAGGCATGACTGAGTGCTAATTGCTACTAATGAGGAGGCATTTTTAACTGGCTATGGTCTTGAGCTTCCTGTTCTCTTTCCTCCAAGCGGCATTCCTGCCACTGGGTTGCATGTAAACCTTCTAGCGAGCCCTCAGCCATGACAAGCTCCACTTCCTCAGCTGCTGAGGGTTGTGTTGAGAAGGGCAAATTCCACTGCCTTTCAAAAGGGCGATCTGACTGAATGAGCAGCATTGGAAGATGCACTGAGGCAATGCCACGCTTGAGGAAATGAACTCTAAATGTTACAGGATCACTGGAAATTACTTTCCTAATGACTTTTACTGATTCCACCCGTTTCCCTACATTCATCTCTCTCACCCAGAGAAAAATCCACAAGCCCCAATCCTTGAAGAGTGTTTTCTTGCTACCAGTTATTTGGGGTGGGGGGCGGGGGGGCAGTGCTAAGTTTTACATTAATGCCTTCGTGTCTCAAAATCACCTTGTGATGTTGAAACTGAATCTGGTTTCCGTGCCGGCGACACTGAATTAACTCTCAGAGACAGAGTTCTGGGGGAAGTAGAAAAGAATAGTTTTACTGCTTTGCCAGGCAAAGGGGGTCCCAGCAGCTTATTGTCCTCAAAACTGTGTCCCAACCTGGAGAGGGTAGCGAGGAGTTTTACAGGGATGGTTCAAAGAGGGCGTGGTCAGCTCATGGGCATTCTTCTGATTGGTTGGTGGTGAGAGAAGTGTCTGGTTCCATCAGGTCTGGGGTCTAGTGCCTGTGGGCAGCACGCAATTAACTTCTCCCACCTGGTGGGGGTTTCAGTATCTGTAAAAGAGCTCAAATACATTGCTCTGTATATGCCTTGATTGAGGGGACCAGGCCCCTGCCCCAAGGCTGCACTATTGTTTCTTTTGACTGTTCCTCCCTTGTTACTGCATCCCCTCCCTTCCCTAATTAGCAACTATTTGAACCTTCTGGTTGGAACTCAGGGAAGGTCAAACCTATTTAGTGTAATCAAGACATGGTGGACGCAGAAAGGCTTTTGTGCCCAGGAGCCCCACAGGGCCCTGCTCTGTATCATTGTTGCTACCACAGATTACTTCCTCCTATATTTGCCTTGTGTTAGGTAGGTAAAAAGTCCCTGTTATAACTGGTTGGGAATTTTCTCTAGTACCTCGGGTGGTACAAATAGAGGAAAGAGTGTATGTACCAGGGTTTATGAAAGAAAAGAGAACTTTTTGAAACATCGAGGATTCCAAATCAACAGAAGAGCTCAAGGAATAGAGTAATGCAAGAAAATAAAGGGAAAACACAACAATGATAGCAAAGGACTTCAGAAAATAGAAAATAATAAACTCAACAAAACAAAAACCTAGCTTTATGAAAGAAATTAATAATAAGCCTCCAGCCAGACAGATATATGGATAAAGAGAGGATATGTCAATAAACACTATTATATCCACATAACCAAAGATAATGGAGATTTATAAAAATCATAAAGAATTCAATGAATAAATTTCTGCTGATAAATATAAGAGTGTAGATGCAATGGAAATTTTCTAAAATAACATAAATTACTGTAGCAGACCACTAGTGGCAAATCAATATCTGTGTCTTCTTATCTTACTGGATACACACCCGACTGTTACCCACATGCCCTTGCAATTACATGTGGGCAGTGATTGATTTCTGGTCAATAGACTGGCCCCCCCAAAATTTTCAAAACATTTGTATGTATGTATGTATGTATCTCTATCTATCTATCTATTTACAGATATATAGATACCAATAAGAAGAGAAAATTGTTGAACTCATTTTATAAAGCTAGTGTGTTATTTTTTGTTTCTTTGATAATAACCATTTTAACAGGTATGAGGTCATACCTGTTGTGGTCTTGATTTGCATTTCCCTGATGATTAGTGAAGTTGAGCATTTTAAAAATATACCAATTGGCCATTTGTGTGTCTTCTTTGGAGAAATGTCTGTTCAGTTTCTTAGCTCATTTTGAGCCGCTACATTGGGTTTTGTTTTGTTTTTTTTGTTTTTTGCTATTAGGTTGTAGGAATTCTTAACAAAATTTTGAGGATTAATCTCTCATCAAATGTATGACTTGCAAATATTTTCTCCCATTCTGTAGGTTGTCTTCACCCTGTTGATTATCTCCTTTGCTGTGCAGAAGTTTTTTAGTTTGATATAGTCCTAGTTGTTTTTGTTGTTGTTGCCTCTGCTTTTGATGCCATTATCTGTGAAATCATTGCCAAGACCAATGTTACAAAGCTTTCCCCCCTACTCTTCTTCTAGGAGTTTTACATTTCAGGTCTTATGTTTAAGTCTTTAACCCATTTTGAGTTGATTCTTGTGTATAGTGTAAGATAAAAGTCCAATTTCATTCTTTTGCATGTGAATATCCAGTTTTCCCAGCACCATTTTTTGAAGAGGCTGTCCTTTTTTAAGTGTAGGTTTGGGGCTCCCTCGTCAAAGGTCGGCTGGCCTTTACATACCAATTCTTGACCAACTATTATTAATAGTTAATCCTGTCAGGGCAAAAATGACCTTTGCTATTTCCTTTGTGACTCTTAATATACTTATCCCATTACTTAGTTTATTCTCCCAGCCTCTGACTCTTTGAGTGTAGATTCTGTGGCTGTTTCATCTTTTATTTACTACAGTATCTAGTTCATTGCCTGTAAGTGCTGAATAAATATTTATTGAATGGACAAAGACTTAATATAATTCAGCCAAAGTTATAAATGTTTCAGACAGTATCACAACCTGCAATTCCTTTCCTTTACATACAAAGCTGACATTCTGAATTAAAAGCATTATACTCGGTTCAAGTTCTGGTTTTACTACAAATATCT